TGGACCGATTGTTGTCAAATTTTGTATGTGTATTATGAATATCATAAAACGCTAACCATACTTTGTCTAATCATCCCAACCAATAATGTGATGACGTTAAATCAAAAATTGCAACATTGAATACTTTGAAATCGTGCAGTCGTTTTAAAATTATTGTAAACATGGCAACTTTTTAATCAAAATGTATCTGTTAATTCCCTCCAAAAAATTGATAAATTCTACCGAAAATGTGCAAAATATGATGAGTTTTACTTGTGATATATCACTGATTGATATTTTTTAAATTTGCTGTCGAAACAACCTTTCGATCAATTTTTCTAAAAATATGATGTAGATAATACATCTCTTTCATACATATATACGTGTTTAATGAGCAACCTTCTACTCTGACCATTTTCAGTACTTCACTTATAACATTATTCTTCATAGACTCAGCATGTTTTTGTTTACTATTACATAACAAATTTTCGCACTTTAATTTCATTTTAGCAATAATCTGCAATAATGCTGACCATTACAACAGAGACCTAGTGATGTCACTACGACATAGTTACCCATTGAAGAATGCCAATCGATTATAATGGCATAGCGACAATATTGTTTATTTACTTAATTTCTGCTTGGGTAAACAGAGCAATTAACTAAGCATGTAATATCCTCGGTTTTTCCCTCACATTAAAATACAGCTTGCATCAAACGAGACTTTGCGCCTGCAAATTATCGGGTCAAGCAAATACCAACAATTTCCCACAACAACTTTGATAATACACATTGCAAAACAATTAACAATAACACCAATTTATGAAAAAAAAAATGATATAAAAGATTTAGATTTTTTAAATGTGTCCTGCATATTTTGAAATATCGAAAATATCACCACTTTGAATCAGAGACTCAAGTTCTAAACGTGTCAGTTTTACCATACTCAATTGCTCAGCATCCACAAACTAACTGTTCTTTGTTTCCTTGATTGTGAAGAAATCGTACTTAATTGGATTATATCACGAGCATCTAACCAATTAACTGATTCTATAAGTCGTTAAAAGTCAATACAGAATCCTGTGGAATTACTGAAGACAGGTACAACTGAATAACCTGATGTTCTTATTAATCCCTGACATGAATTTTTAATGTATTCCTGGTTTTACAATAATACGCTATTATTATAGTAATTTACAATCTACAATGCTGAAACAATCAAGTAGTTCTATTATACAATTCGACTGAAGTAAATTTATGTAATTTAAATATTTAATTCTCTCTAACACCACTTACGACATACAATTAGTAGGTCATAGAAGGACAAAGCTTCACTGTGGATAATTATTTCTCTATCACAGTAATGGAAGCGAGAATCACACTTTAGCTCCCTCTAATTTCTGTATAAATTTGTGGAAGGTTAGTGTCATCAGCACTATAAAAGCGAGACCAAATATATGTATAGTACCTAAAATTCAATGAAAACGAAAATTTAAAAATAAAGCCAAGATATTTAGACGGACATTTAATTAGTAAGTTTGTGAGAAGATTAATCTTTGTTTTGTAATTCTTACATCAATGTTAGCTACTTGCAAAAAAAAGTTTGCAGAATTTCAAACTAATCGTTATAGTTTCTAAGTAAAATTGTACAATTTTGATTCTTAACTTAAAAAAACTTAAGGATAAGGTTTAACCTTAAGGACGGATGAATCAAAATAATAATTCGGGAATAAATATTCAAATTCAAATTGTAAAAAAATAATAAAGCCGTCCCGTTTTCAAGTCCACGATGATATCAATTTAACAGATGAAAATTTTAAGGTCTTTTCTCTCAAAATGGATCAGCGTTTAAGATTAGTTTAGATGCAACTAATGAACTACTTTAGGAAGTTTTTAAAGTCTGAAAATGTAATAACCTAATAACTTAGACAACCATCTAAAATTCTATGCATCATTACTAAAAAAGGGTCACACCGGAATAATTAAATTTCCTGCCACGTTTTGTAGTGATTGTAGATGAAATTGTGTTGTAGTTTCGCGGCGTTTTTTTTTTCTTAGCGTGATTATTTTTACGCTTAACAACACTAGCAGGTATTTAGAAGCGTAAATAAAAAACACCAACTCGACGAAATAAAATCAAAATACTTATTTGTTAAAAACTCCCATTAGGTAACGTTATAAATTATTATTGTAATGATTATTAAGACAAATTCCCCTTCAGACCCCGTCGAATCTTCTTAACACATATTTCCACTATTCGTTTTGTGCTTATTAAGAGCTCTAAAGTCTTCTGTGCACCAATATAAGTTATAAAAATAATGACTTACTTAATGACACCATGGGCATAGATCCTCTTTCCAAGAATTCGCCTTTCCTCGTAAACTTTTGAGGATCGCGTTAATACTTTCACATCTGCTCACGTGAACTTTTAAAATTTAAGTTTTAAGTCAAAGAAGCTACAACCAAATTTACAAGCACAATCACAAATAAATCCCAGATAAAATCTGTTGTAAGAACCCCGTCTCTTCAGAAAGAAAACACTCCAATTTATATTGTGCTAAATAATACGTCTACCGTTCATTTATAATTCTATCTAATAATAGACAGATTTGACAGATCTGTATGTTTTAAAAATGAAAATGAGTTTTCAGTTTAATACTAACACTTCTACTTTGTTCTCTTTTTATTGGAGATACAAAGCTTAAATTCGGTTTACTGCATTTTCGATGGTCTCACTATTTGCAAGATTTAGATGTTTTCGATCGGTTGTGTCAACAATATCAACACAATCGATATCGTTACATAACTGTGAAGTGCACTCAGAGTTTAAAAAACCATAACGAATAGTGGTTTCTTGAGTCATCGTGTTCAGAAAATTGTAATGTGATTCCGAGGAATTCATAGAGGGTTAACTGCACCTTGTCAAAAAACTTCTTTCTCGTGTGCCAAAGTTATAGACAAATGACTAAAATTTAGGTAACAATTATGGTACTCAATTTATATTAGTATATATTATATTTGAGAAGCAGTACGGCTCAGATAGCCCCTAGCGCGGTGCAGCGATAATGCTCATGAAGCAACGCTGTCCGCAGTCACTTTGTGGATGGGTGGCCAAGATCGCCATACCTATCTGAGCGGCTCGGTGCGTCTCCCCCCTCGACACCCAATGGGTAAAAAGAGGGTAACAGATTATATATATATTATATATATATTATTTATAAATTTATTTAACAAGTCCTCTGTGTTAACTTAAATTAATATTTGCTCCGTAGTCGGGTTTTCTCTATTTCAGTTTGAACAGTTGTAAAAAAGAAAGTAGAAAAGATTATGTTCCAACTTGTTTGCATTTGTTTCCGATTATGGTGCAGATAAATATAATTTTCCATCTTGGCAAAGGACCAATTAGTATCCATCATGTGGTACTGGTCCATTCTCACTCGTTCAAGTGGACAAATCTCGTACAAATCAGTTGCACATTTGTTAAAAATATTAAAGTAATTTTGACATATTGTGTTTTTACCTAATTTTACAATACATTACAAAATTCTTTTGATTTTTACAAAGACACTGTATACACGACTGTAAAACGTTCCACTCGAGCGATTCGTTGTGCAAGCGGCAAGACTTGGAGTCTCTCAGAACTCTGACCCGATGTTGTGTCAGGTTCCATTTGCAAACAATCATAAAGCTTCATACTTTTTATTTATTCATAGACCTACATCTACAGCATTACGAAATTGATTGAAAGTGATTTAGTTTTCACTTCCTGATGCTGGCTAGCATTTAAAATAATAAATTGATGTATCGATGATAAATCAATAATACACAATTTTATATGCAAGCATTCCTTCTGCATAATGGTACGTGTTACATGGTTTGTATTTACACACTTTCACTTGGTTGTTACCTTTCTTTATTTAGCAACGTCCATTTTTCATACACAATCGTTCGTTATGAGTATAGGTGGTTATTAAAGATAATAAATTTGATAAGAACAAGTACCGTTATTACGGCATGACGTTGTTTCGCAAATTTTTGTTTTCTGTGGAAATTAAACACAGTACCTAGCTCAAGGAGCATATAATTGATCTTATTAATAACTGTAAAAATGTATTAAACGATTTATTGTTGTAATGTAACAGTGCTTTCAGTGATATTTTTTCATAAGACCAAGTGAACTTTAATTATGCCATGTATTTATTTCATCATTAACTCAAATTAGTGCAAAATTTGACATGTGTGGCATAATTAAATTTACTTGTTTCCTTGTTTATAATACTATGTACACTATTGTGAAAATTCAGAAGATAACAAGAACGGCTAACCGCCTAATTATAACGTATACAGATCTTTTTTAGATAGATATTCTTAGGAGATAAACTGGAACTTCCTCAGATCCAAAAATATTTCTCTTTTAGCATTTTCATTTAAAATTTGTTTTATCTATAAAGTTTTATTACCTGAAAACCTAAAAAGAAGTAATTGATAGTTATGTTAAAACAATATGTGTTTTTCGTTTCGAATCAATGTAGTCACAGATCTACTTGCTGTTCCAGAAGTGGATTTTATCTGTAATTTTGTGTTATTCTTCAGTATCTAAGTTAGATGTGTTACCTTTGTAGGTTTGTACCTTACCTTTTCTCAGTGGTTGCAGACGAAACAATGTCGTCCTCATTCTTAACATTAAATGTTTGTTTTGACGTCCAAAACAATTTTGTATGGTAGATCTAATTTAACGGCGGATGTAACAATCTTTATGTCTACATCAGTGTACTAAATTGCTTTTTGGACAGCGGCAATGTGGGGCTATTTTAGTTATTAACAAGTGATAAATGTCACATCGTAACGTTCGGTAGTAAAGAAATTTAGCGATATTCTGTTTCTGTTCTTACACAATATAGGTATATAAGTATGGACAACAAAATATTACTTAGTTTTAATTTTTATATAATTATCTAAACATTTAGATAATATTTTTCAAACACAAACTTGCCATACAACTCAAATCAATTATAGGTACCTTACATAAAAAAATCGTATTACATTTATTTTTTAACATTAAGTACATTAAACACTAATGTACGGAATCAAAATGTATTCATCTAATTTATCACATTTAAGGACAACACTTCGAACTTTTGTAGGCCTGAAACAAATTGTTACTACTTTCATTTTTCAGACTCCATCAAAACTTACGTCTTCCGCTATTTTTATAAGATTTTCCGCCATTCCTTTACCCGTTTGTTTCACTAGCCCATAAAAGATTCCAGTCGTGTCCTGCAACAGCAGATGTGGATGATCAAATTCAGCTACTTGCCCAGCATCCATGACTAGAATCTTATCCGAGTCCATCACAGTATGCAACCGATGAGCTATAGTCAACACCGTACAATCTTTAAATTTCCTTCTAATGGTAGTCTGGATCAGTTCATCTGTTTGAGGATCCACATTTGCTGTAGCCTCATCCAGAATCATGATCTGGTTACTACGAACGACAGCTCGAGCCAGACATAACAATTGACGTTGACCGACGCTGAAGTTGGAACCTCCTTCTGAAACGTTATTTTGTAATCCTGAAGGCAAATCTGAGATGGCGCTTTTCAGTTCTACTTCTTCTAGCGCGTCCCAGAGTGTTTCATCACTGTATTCATCGAATGGATCAAGATTTTTTCTCAACGTTCCAGAGAACAACACAGGTTCTTGGGGAATAATGGAGATTTTGGAACGTAAACTTCGTAGTGATATTGTCTTCGTATCGACGCCATCGATCACGATTGCTCCTTCCACATCCGCTAGGCGGAAAAGAGCCGAAATCAACGAAGACTTCCCGGCACCAGTTCGTCCTACAATTCCCACTTTTTCCGCGGATTTTATTGTGAAGGTCAAGTTCTTGAGTACCGTTGGTTCCTCTGGTGCATATCTCATTGAGACAGATTGGAAGTCTATAACGCCTGCAGTAGGCCAAGAAGGTGAAGGATTTTTTGTTTCGTCGTCGGGTTCGGGAGTTATTTCTGTATATTCGACCACACGTTCTACGGAGGTCATCTGATTTTCTAGCTCACTCCACTGGCGCATTCCCCACTGAAGCATTCCTGTTAAAGCTATTGATTGGGTGATGCCGAGACCAACATTACCACCGTACGTTTCTGGAAAACGAAAAAAAGTCAAATTCAGTAGAAAGAAAAGTGCAACCTACTCACCTGTTCCAATGAAAAGGAAACTAAGTGTTACTAGACCTATGTAAATTACGCAATGCAAATCAAGCCAGAAACCGAACGTTCGATTACAACCGAGAAACATGTAAAAAGCCGAGCTGTGCAAGTCTTGGTGTTGGTCGAACTCACATTGGAGAATATCTTGAGTACCGAAAGCCCTTATCGTTGTTAACCCTTGCAAAGATGCTGTCATATGTGTAAAAACGGGACTACGAGCTAAAACACTGGCTTAATAAGGACTTACAACAAATGGCAAATCACATACTTGTTCCTTCAAATCTCTTCAAATCTCTGCTAGTTGCCAAATAGATAATTCGGAAAACATAAAACAACCCAAATAATACAACAGAAGGTATTAAAATCCAAGGATTGACTATACCCACGACAATGTTAATGGAAAAGACAATCATACCAATCTGTATGGTGTCGATCATGGCTGTCGGAAGAACTTCATCGATCGATCCCATGTCTTTTGAAAATCGGTTGAGGATTCTTCCCGAAGTATTTACGTCGAAGAACCGCATAGACGTGTATACGATTCTAGTGAACATGCGATTGTGTAAGTTTCTTGACGCTTTCATGCAAAATCTAAAGAAATTCAATGACCGAAATAACGAACTGAAAATCACAAGAACTAGCAATGTACTATAAAGGTATAAACAATTTTCCGAGGTAAAGAAAATTTCTCCAAATTCTTCACGCATGTTTGTCTCGTTTCTGTCACTGTTAGTATACGTCTCCGTTTGATTGCGTCCTAACCGAATTTGTTCTAGGTTAACCCAGAAAGTCAAAAAGTAATCGGAACCGCTACTGGTCAATTGAACCAGGATAAACAAAGTGACCAAAAACAGGGTCGCACAAATGTTTCCTCCAGCTCTGATGTAACTCGTATACACACTTTTCGATATGTTTCCAGTTTCCCGGTGTTCCTTAACTTCGGTAGGTACATCAACTTGTTCCAAACTTGTCAAAGATTTTGCTTTCTCCACTGTGGATATGTTTTTATTTTCTTCCTCATCCGGTTCTCCTTCTAATAATGTAAAGAATTCGTTTTCAGACTTTTTCAACCCCGTGTAAGTTCCGCTAGCGGTGACGCAGCCATTTTCAATCAAATAAATCCCATCAACAGTTCTGAGATACTGCAACTGGTGAGTTACCAAAACCACACATTTGTTCCTTAAATATCCAACAATGCAATCGTCGAAAAGTTGCTTGCCCACATGAGTATCAACCGCAGATAGAGGATCATCCAATAAGTAAATATCTGCGTCTTTGTAGATCGCTCGGGCTAAATTAATCCTCGCCTTCTGTCCTCCACTCAACATCACGCCACGTTCACCTACGATAGTCCGATCACCGTAAGGAAACAAAGAGAAATCGCGATCCAGAGCGCAAGCTCTAACGACCTCTTTGTAGCGTTTCATATCCATTATCTGTCCAAACAGTATATTTTGCTTAATACTGCCACCAAACAACCACGGTTCTTGCGAAGCGTACGAAATTGTTCCTCCAACGTCTAGGGTACCTTTGAGCAACGAAAGTTCTTTCATTATCACATGCAGAAGGGTAGTTTTGCCACTTCCGACCGGTCCAATAACCGAAACCAATTGAGTAGGACCGACATTCACGTTCACGTCACTTAAAGTATAGTCGGTGGAGGTTGAAACCCACTTAACAGAGGCTTGATCTAAATATATTCCTGTCTTTTCTGTTGTCACCAATTCCTTAATTAACGCGATTGACCCATTCTTCGCTTTTTTGTTTTTTCTGCCACTGATGTTATCATTGATCTGTCCTTTAATTTTATACCCAGTTTCAACTTCATCCGACATCAGGAATTTCTGAACTCTTTTCACAGAAACATTTGTTTCCGCCAGCATTGTAATTGCTGTTGGGAAGAACGTGATCAGATTTTGCCCCAACATGCCATAGAAGGCTGTTAATAAGTAAACATAGTGAGATTGTAAAGTGTTTCCCATTAACACGTAAGTCAAAATGCATAAGAATTTGGCAGTCCTGTTTAAGGAAAGTTTGAAGGACATGTTTAACGCATGGATGTAGGAGTTGACTTTGATTTGATGAATTTCTAATCTGAAAACAAGGTAAGTTACGGGTGAATAATCGAGCGAGTGCTTAACGAGAGTAAAAACTTGAGTTTTTAGAAACAAAAGTCAACTTTTCACTAGGAATATTAGCTGCAAAGATTTATACATTCACATACTTCCTGGCCACATCAACTAGTTTTGCAAAAGGCTTTTCCCATGTGTACATTTTGATAACTTGAATACCACAGATAATTTCATTCATTAATCGCACTCTCTCATCAGTTTTCAAGGCCGTACGTAATCTATACACTGATGTTCTTTTAGCCAAGTACACTAGAAGAAAAACCTGTATGTAATTACCGTTTCTCAAGTAGAAATCTGTAACCGTACTTTGAAGAGGTATGAATGACAATAGAATTGCGATTCCTATTAGTGCTGAAGATCCCAACGTTGTGTACATTAAATACATAACAATAATGGTTAAAATAGGAGTGACCCATAAATAATGCATATGTGTTACGCACATATCAAATCTGTTGACGTCATTTGACAACAAATTGACCATCTGGCCAACTGTGGTGTCGAGAAGGGCACCTTTACTCAATCTGAGAGATTTGCGATAAATCAAGGAACAACTTGCGACCCGAATTTTCATTCCCAGATCTTGAAGGCCCAACATGTATGAATGGCCCATAAGAACATTGAGGAAAGATATCCCCACAATGCCACCTGCGTAAAGATACGCGGTATTTTTACTCACTGTTGTTTGGTTAGGTGTATAATATTCCATGAGTTTGCCTAGGAATAACGGTTGGGACATTCTAAAATTAAATAGAATCATTAAAATTAGACTGAATATGGGGAAGTTTACTTATTACTTGATCACAAATTCCATTACCGCTACAATAAACGCATAAAAGACACATTCTTTTCCAAACACACGGATTAAAGCTCTCCATAATGAAGGGTTTCTGCGAGAATTTTCTTCTTTCAACCAAGCTTGCTCCAGTCTGTTTCCTAATAGGTTGGATTCGTGCGCTTTGAGGGTCCCCCAGAGATCATCTTCAACTAGATCTTTTTTGAAGCCCTTCACAAACAGAGGTAAAGCCCAGCTGCAATATTGATTAATTCGTACAATACACAAGACGTGGCCTAGACTTACCAGAAAAATATGTTTGACAGAAGGCTGGCTCTTTGTTTGGGGTGAAGTGATTGCTTGCTTGGATTAAGTAGTGTTCTTTGTTTATCCTCCATTGTGGTGTATTTAGAGGTCAATACAAACGATAAGTGTCATAGTTTGAGTTAAAAATTTCTATAGTTCATTTTTTAAAAACGCAGAAAAAATGACGCAACCTAGAAGCACATCCCACAGTTAATTAATTAACGCGTAGATTTCACTTTTTTTTTTTTATTTTGCAAAATATGTATCGTTAAATATTAACAAGTATGTTGTCTTGTTTAATTATCTTGGTCACAGGTTGCAGAAATTCAGCATGAAATTTCATCGGAAAAGTACAAAAAATATTTCCCCATTTGAAAAAAAATCTATGTAAGTTCTGTGTATGATGGTGTGTTGTTAGATGTTGACAATGGGGCTAGAAGTACATTAATTATAATATATGTATAATGAATAACATGAATTTTAAAGAGAACGTAATAGCTCCTATTAATTTCGCGAACGTTTACTATCGCTACTCCCGAACGTTTTCGGGCTGTCCCGTTTTTCCCCCGATCCAAGGAGCGCACAAGCATTTTCAGTGCAGACACACCTACATATTTTGCCGCTTCTACAAAAAGTAATTATTAACGTCATCCTTGAGTCGTTTTTCTTAGTTTTGAACAATAAAGAGAATTTATTGTTATTTACATTGCAAAAAAGGAATTGACAGTGTCATTTATAACTAATATTTACTAGTATAATTTTTAAAATATATACAACTTAAAATAATTTTCGTTTCATTTTGTCGGAAATATTGTATTTTAGTTAGTATTCAACTTATTTTGATTAAAATTTGCATTGAAAAGGCCGTAATATACTTTACATGTTCGCAATCTGTAAAGAAAACTAAAAAAAAAATATTTTTTCTATATTTTGCCATATCGTCACTCAAACACAGGCATTCGTACGCGCATCGAGTTGCTATTCGCATTAAATCTCGTTCGAGAACACGGATTTTCGTTTCGAATAGTATCTTGTCATGCGCATCTATTGGTACTCGCATTTTTGCGAACGAGTTCGAGAATCGACCCCCTGGAGGATTCCCATTTGAAATAGATACCCACGCACCTGCAGCTAGTCAGATTCAGATATCTTGCAGTTTGGACGGTACCTACGAAGCTTCATTTAGCCTATTCACTTCCCGTCAAGACGGACACTCTTCACCGGTGGATTGGGTGTTGTCTATATCAACGCTTACCTGATGACTAGTTAGTGTAAAAAAGCGCCGGAACAAACATTATTGTAGAACTCGAGTTATTTCTTGTATTGTCTGGGCTACTATTTTACTTCACAACACCCATTTACAAATAATTTGTGTAAATAAATCTATCTGTAAAAAACATTTGTTGATAAGATAAAGAAATCGCTAATGCATAATAAATAATTCGTGTAAAAGAAAAAAGCTATTTAAAAAACAAGTTTTAGTATTGCTTGAAATAACAACGAAGAAACAACATATAAAATGTGCATAACAAAGCTAAAATTACTTGAGCATGTGAACACACTTCGACATGATCGATAGCAGAAGATCACATGTAGGTACAAGACAGTACACGTATCTATTTTAATAAATAAATTCTCTATACTCAACCAACTGAAATCAATATAATATAATGAATATAAAATTGTACTACATCACGTTTTCAGCTTTTGTTATTGACTTCTGTCAGTACACAATCGCACCAGTTGGAACCTCATCTCACTGGCGACTGAATGGAATACTGCCAGAGAACGGAAGGTTGCTAATACTTATAAGGCATGAGTGGTACTGGTAGCACTTTGATTAGTTTTATTGGTTGCGCGCACACTTACAGACGGTAAAACATCACCAGCGTTTATGAGTACTCAATTTCACACTCCGGCAAATCAAATTTAATCTGAGACATCTCGCATTGAATTTTAATTATTATATTTAATTCGTATTAATTCTTAAAATTATATGCAAATCTTTTTGACCTCGGCGCACAATTGACCCATACTCATTATTCAGCTGTATAATAAACTTAAATCTTGTTCAATTTTCATTTTATACAAAATTCCAAGCATGCATCTTTAAAAATGCCGGAACTATAAATTTTTTCTATAAGAATATTATTATCTTGGGGCACTCTGCAAATTCTTTATTTATTTAGTTACAGTTATACTTAAAAAAAGTGTTACGATTACTACTGGATGATTATTTAAGGTAGGTACCCCTTTTGTTCTGTGTTAACAATTTTAGTAAAATGATGGTACAATTTTGTGTTAGGTATGCGTGAGGTCAGCACTTTGTATCTAAACATATGTTTAATGCTCTGTATTCTGATGAATTCGTTATGCTGATTTTTGTTTAAATTTAGAAATAAGTGTGAATACAAATGTACTTGCTGATCCAAAAGTTGTTTATTTTATTTGGTCTTAAAACCTTGCAATTTTGTGTTGATGAACATTTGAATTTGGCTCCAAGAACGAGCATAACAAAAAATCATATTTCTGCGCAGTAAAACAAGTGATGTACTGCGTCAACTATGAACGGTAACAAACGTTACGATTACGCTTTAAGAATTAGGTCAATGAACGCTCAAAATGGGACATACAGTTTTTCTCATTGCTTGTAGATGATGATTGATGACACAATGTCTTAACTTGTTCTTAACATTAAGAGCCAGTTTATGGAATATTTTAATTGAGACCACGATTGAGACTAAGTTAACCACGCATATAATGAGGCGTTTAGCAGCGGCATTTGATTGGCGTAGAGAGAGTCAGTTGGTAATCTAATGCCGTATTAAAAATTTAATCCCAATCGAAATTTCAATTGAACTGTCGTAAACCGGCTCTCAGTATTTGTTTTGACGTCCAAATAATTTTGTGTGGTACCAAACAATGTAATGAACCCAATTAAATATACAAAGAAAAAGCGTATTCAATTTATTTTTGGATATTAAGTACATTAAACACTGGTATATAATTACATGATCAAAATGTATTTATATAATTTGAATAACATTTAAGTAACACGTCACGAATTTTTGTAGGCCTGAAACAATCAAACTGTTACTACTTTCCTTTCTCAAACACCACCCAAACTTACGTCTTCAGCTATTTTTATAAGATTTTCCGCCATTCCTTTACCCGTTTGTTTCACAAGCCCATAAAAGATTCCAGTCGTGTCCTGCAACAGCAAATGTGGATGATCAAATTCAGCTGCTTGCCCAGCATCCATCACTAGAATCTTATCCGAGTCCATCACAGTATGCAACCGATGGGCTATAGTCAACACCGTACAATCTTTAAATTTCCTTCTGATGGTAGTCTGGATTAGTTCATCTGTCTGAGGATCCACATTTGCCGTAGCCTCATCAAGAATCAAGATCTGGTTATCACGAACAACAGCTCGAGCCAGACATAACAACTGACGTTGACCGACGCTGAAATTGGAACCTCCTTCTGAAACGTTATTTTGTAATCCCAAAGGCAACTCTGAGATGGCGTTTTTCAATTCTACTTCTTCTAGGGCGTCCCAGAGTGTTTCATCACTGTATTCATCGAATGGATCAAGATTTTTTCTCAACGTTCCAGAGAACAACACGGGTTCTTGAGGAATAATGGAGATTTTGGATCGTAAACTTCGTAGTGATATTTTCTTGGTATCAATTCCATCAATCACGATTGCTCCATCAACATCCGCTAGACGGAAAAGAGCCGAAATCAAAGAAGACTTTCCGGCACCAGTCCGTCCTACAATTCCTACTTTTTCCGCAGATTTTATTGTGAAGGTCAAGTTCTTGAGTACCGTTGGTTCCTCGGGTGCATATTTCATTATCACAGATTGAAAATCTATAACGCCTTCCGTAGGCCAAGAAGGTGGAGGTTTTTTTGTTTCGTCGTCGAGTTCGGGAGTTATTTCTGTATATTCGACCACACGTTCTACGGAGGTCATCTGATTTTCTAGCTCACTCCACTGGCGCATTCCCCACTGAAGCATTCCTGTTAAAGCTATTGATTGTGTGATGCCTAAACCTACATTGCCACTGTACGTTTCTGGAAAATGAAGAAAAGTCAAATTCATGTCAATGAAAAGTGCGACCTACTCACCGTTTCCAATGAAGAGGAAACTAAATGTTACTAGACCTACGTAAATTACACAATGCAAATCGAGCCAGAAACCGAACGTTCTGTTACAACCGAGAAACATGTAAAAGGCGGAGCTGTGCAGGTCTTGGTGTTGGTCAAACTCAAGTTGGAGGATATCTTGGGCACCGAAGGCCCTTATTGTCGTTAATCCTTGCAAAGATGCTGTCATATGTGTAAAAACGGGACTACGAGCTGAAACACTGACTTAGTATGGACTTACAATAAAATGGCAAATCACTTACTTGTTCCTTCCATTCTCTTCAAATCTCTGCTGGTGGCCAGAAAGATAATTCGAAAAACATAAAACAACCCAAATATTATCACAGAAGGTATCAAAATCCAAGGATTGACTATACCAATAACAATGTTAATGGAAAAAGCAAGCATCCCAATCTGTATAGTGTCGATCATGGCTATCGGAAGAACTTCATCGATCGATCCCATGTCCTTTGAAAACCTATTGAGGATTCTTCCAGAAGGATTTACGTTGAAGAACCGCATAGACGTATGTACTATTCTAGTGAACATGCGATTGTGTAAGTTTCTTGACGCTTTCATGCAAAATCTGAAGAAATTCAACGACCGAGTTAACGAACTGAAAATCACAAAAACTACCAAAGTACTATAAAGGTACAAACAATTTTCTGATGTAAAGAAAATCTCGTCAAATTCTTCGCTTATACTTGTATCGTTTCTATCACCATTAATATACGTCTCCGTCTGATTGCGTCCTAATCGAATTTTGTTCGAGATTAACCCAGAAAGACAAAAAGTAATCGGTACCGCTATCGGCCAATTGTACAAGGATAAACAAAACGGCCAAAAACAGACTCGCACAAATATTTCCTCCAGCTCTGATGTAACTCGTGTACACATTTTTTGATAAGTTTCCGCTTCCCCGTTGTTCTATCACTTCGCTAGGTACATCAACATGTTCCAAACTTTTCAAAGATTTTGCTTTCTTTACGGTGGATACGTTCTTCTCTTCCTCCTCCTCCGGTTCTCCTTCCAACAATGTAAGGAATTCGTTATCAGACTGTTTTAATTCCGTATAAGTTCCGCTAACGGTGACGCAGCCATTTTCTAGCAAATAAATCCTATCAACAGTTCTGAGATACTGCAACTGGTGAGTCACCAGAACCACACATTTGTTCCTTAAATATCCAACAATGCAATCGTTGAAAAGTTGCTTGCCTACATGAGTATCAACCGCAGATAGAGGATCATCCAATAAGTAAATATCTGCGTCTTTGTAGATCGCTCGGGCTAAATTAATCCTCGCCTTCTGTCCTCCGCTCAGCATCGTGCCACGTTCACCTACGATAGTTCGATCACCGTAAGGAAACAACGAGAAATCACGCTCCAAAGCGCAAACTCTAACGACCTCCTTGTACCGTTTCATATCCATTTTCTGTCCAAACTGTATATTTTGCTTAATACTGCCACCAAACAACCACGGTTCTTGCGAAGCGTACGAAATTGATCCTCCAACGTCCAAGGTACCTTTGAGCAACGAAAGTTCTTTCAGTATCACATGAAGAAGGGTAGTTTTCCCACATCCGACTGGTCCAATAATGGAAACGAGCTGAGTGGGACCGATGTTTACGTTCACATCACATAAAGTATAGTCAGTGGCCGTTGAAATCCACTTAACGGAGGCTTGATCTAAATGTATTCCTGTCTTTTCTATCGGCACGGCTTCCTTAATTAACGTGATAGGCTGATTTTTCTCTTTTTTGTCTGTTTTGTCACAGATGGTACTATTCATAGCTCGTTTTATTTTATAACCACTTTCCGCTTCATCCGACGTTAGGAACTTCTGGACTCTTTTCACGGAAACATTTGCTTCCGCCAGCATTGTTAATCCGTGTGGGAAGAACATGACCAGACTATACTCCAACATGGCATAGAAGGCTGTTAATATGTATACGTACTGAGATTGCAAGGTGTTTCCCATTAACACATAAGTTAAAATGCATAAGTAGATGGCAGTCTTGTTTAGGAAAATCGTGAAAGAAATATTCAACGCACGGATGTAGGAGGTGATTCTGATTTGATGAATTTCTAATCTAGGAACAGAGTAAGTTAAGGGTCAAGAATCGAGCAGGTACTTAATAGGAGTAAAAACTTGAGTTTAGAAACAAAGCTCAAATTTTCACTAGGAATAATAGTTATAAAGATTCATACATTCACATACTTCCTGGCCACATCAACCAATTTTGCAAAAGGCTTTGCCCATGTGTACATTTTGATAACTTGAATACCACAGATAATTTCGTTCATTAGTCGCACTCTCTGATCAGTTTTCAACGCCGTGCGCAGTCTGTACACAGATGTTCTTTTACCCAAGCAGAAACCTGTTACCGTACTTTGAAGAGGTATGAATGACAATAGAATTGCAATTCCTATTAGTGCCGAAAATCCCAGCGTTGTGTACATTAAATACATAATAATACTGGTTAATATAGGAGTTACCCATAAATAATGCATATGCGTTACGCACATATCGAATCTGTTGACATCATTTGACAACAAATTGACCATCTGGCCCACTGTGGTGTCGACAAGAGCACTCTTACCCAATCTGAGAGATTTTCGATAAATCAAGGAACAACT